GGTTTGGGTTTTTACAGCTCCGGTGACCGGTTTTTTTCAGTACCACGGCGGAACGAACTTCGACCGGATGGCCGGCGGTCCGTACATCACCACCTCTTACGATTACGATGCACCGTTGGATGAGTATGGTAATCTGAATCAACCCAAATACGGCCATTTGAAGCAGCTTCACGATGCTTTGATGTCCATTGAGAAGCCGCTGGTTTCCGGCGACATGAACACCACCGATTTGGGCAACTCTGTTTCTGTAAGAACCAAAAAACGGATCTCATCTGTTTTTGCTCTGTTTCTTGAGCCAAACAATTGAACATTGTTATTTTTCTCGATTTAGATCACCAAATACACTACAAAAGAAGGGTCGGCTTGTTTCTTCAGCAACGCGAATGTAACAACCGACGCGACGGTCAGCTACAACGGAAAAGACTTTAAAGTTCCGGCGTGGTCCGTCAGCATTCTTCCCGACTGTCAAACAGAGGTTTACAACACAGCAAAAGTGAACACACAAACATCCGTGATGGTGAAGAAGGAAAACAAGGCGGAGGAGGAACCGGCGGTGTTGCAATGGGTGTGGCGGCCGGAGAATCTCGACGCCACCGCGAGATTAGGCAAAGGACAAGTCAGTGCTAATATGCTTCTTGATCAGAAAGCTGCCGCTAACGACGCCAGTGATTATCTCTGGTACATGACAAGGTAAAATCCTCGAAATCGAACACGAATTTCATCGATTTAAGCCTTTCCCATTTCCCTAATTTGATGTTCTTCCCCAAATTACAGCGTTCACTTGAAGAAGACCGACCTGATTTGGAGCAACGACATGACTCTGCGAATCAACGGCAGCGGCCATGTCCTCCACGCCTTCGTCAACGGCGAACATATCGGTTCCCAATGGGCTACAAATGGAATTTTCAATTACTTTATGGAGAGACAAGTGAAATTAAAGCCGGGAAAGAACATTATCTCTCTTCTCAGCGCCACCGTCGGCTACCAGGTTCGTAACTCCGACCTCTGTTTCTGATTTTTCTCATCAACAAATCTCACAAATTTTGCTCTGTTTTTCAGAACTACGGGCCCTTCTTCGACATGATTCAATCAGGAATCCCCGGCCCAGTTGAATTAATCGGCCGCAACGGCGATGAAACACTCATAAAAGATCTCTCATCTCACAAATGGACATACGAAATCGGATTGCACGGCTTCGAAAATCGTCTCTTCAGCTCAGATTCCCGATTTGCCGCCAAATGGCAATCGGAGAATCTCCCAGTGAACAAAATGATGACATGGTACAAAACAACCTTCAAAGCTCCATTAGGAACCGACCCAGTGGCTCTAGACTTACAAGGCCTCGGCAAGGGGGTTGCTTGGGTCAACGGCCACAACCTCGGCCGCTATTGGCCAAGCTTCATAGCCGAAGAAGGTTGCAGCTTGGACCCATGTGACTACCGTGGCGCTTACGACAACAAAAAATGCGTCAGCAACTGTGGCCACCCAACACAGCGGTGGTACCATGTCCCAAGATCCTTCATCAACGACGGGGACAACACTCTGGTTCTGTTCGAGGAATTTGGAGGAGACCCATCATTAGTGAACTTCAAAACAATCAGCATGGAGAAAGCTTGTGCTCATGCTTACGACAACCACCGTTTGGAGCTGTCGTGTCAGGGGCGACAGATTTCAGGGATTGCCTTCGCGAGCTACGGCAATCCATTGGGGAGTTGTGGGTCTTTCACGACGGGAGAGTGCAAGAGCCAGAGCGATGCATTGAAGATTGTTGAGAATTTGTGCATTGGGAATGAATCTTGTGTTATTGATGTCTCTGAAGCTACCTTTGGAGCTACCGACTGCGCCGCTGATCTTGTCAAGAGGCTCGCCGTGGAAGCTCTCTGCTAAGAGCTTAGTTTAGGATTTTGTTTCAGAGATTTTTTCTTTCTTTCTATTAGCTAAATGGAGATGGGAACTAGATTATATTCTTCTTCCACTCTTTAGTCCCGATCATCTTGATTGAAATATTTTTGGACTATCCATTAATGAAATGCTTATTTGTCATCTTTAGACTGCTCTATAAATTTTAGTTGAGTTCATTAAATGCAACTTGCACAACATATAATGGAGGTCTCCAACGTCTTCCAGAATTTCCTTTGATGAGCTCATCATAGTTTGAATATAAGTGTGTTATAGCTTCTTGGCTCTCGTCCTTGTAATTGGACCTTGAGGTATGAAAATTCCTTGGTCGTGGCTCATATCACTTGCTCTTTGAAACTTCACTGGTTCTCCGTCCTTTTATTTGATACTAAGGGTCCTTTATGCTAAGCTGACATGACCGGCGTCTCTCTATGAGGCGCTATCTCTGCATGGCTATCTGGGACTACAACGCTACCTCTACATGGCTATCTGGGACTACATGGTGTCTAGCCCAGGGGTGTGTTGAGTACCTCATAAGCCCATGACAGTCTCCTGGAGGGCGCGACCCAACCCTTTCCCGTGCAGCTAACGGGCTGGGGACACATTGCCTATGTGAAACGGCTAGGAGCGGTACTTCTTCGTCGTGGTAATCTGTTAGGGTCCTAGGGGGAAGGTTGTACCTAGACTGAGTGACTAGTCACTCCTAACTACAAATCCCTAGGCTTATCATACTAACGGTGACTTGTCTCTCCTAACTACAAATCCATAGGCTTATCATAGTAATGAGTCATGGAATATAACATGTGCATGTAACCGCCATCTAACATCATCACACTTAATTCATGCAAATTAGACATGCAGACTCAACAGGGCGATGACCTCCATCAGGCACCCGAAAAGCGGAGTTTGCGCTCAACGGGGCGATGTCATCCCTCAAGTGCCCGAAATGCGGAGTTCACCTATTCAACACGAATTAACATGTGCATCTGTATAGCGGAAGCTTAAAGCATACCAGCAACACTCAGATAATTCACAATTTACCCATATTTCTTTCAGCATGCATAAACAATTACACACTAAGCAGAAGCATAAAACACGTTTCACATGGAAGCATATATAACTAGTCATACAACATGTACTTTGCAACCAATCACATATTTGTTTAGATTCTACTTGATTACTTACTAGATTGTTGTATTCTATATATATAGAGCATTCTCGCTCTTTATAATACAATCTTCTCATCAACCATTCAATGACTCACTCTTTCATTAACAATTGGTATCAGAGCTACAAGGAGAATCCAGTTTTTCAGTTGTTGCACCACCCGTCTTCGATGGAGACAATTATCAAATGTGAGCAGTTCGTATGGAGACTTATCGAGAGATCTTTGTGAAGAATAGAAGAGGATTACAAGTCCCTCCACTTCCAGCAAATCCTACTGTAGCCGGTTTGACACGTGACTCGCTGGAAATTTTTCTCTCTCCTCAATTCTTGGAAATCGGCTCGGATCTTCATCTTCAAACTAGAATTTCGGTTAGTTTCCTTCATGAATCTTGTGGAGAATTCCCTCTAGATGAACATATCAAAATTTCATACCTTGATTCACAATAGATAATTCTAGATCTGAGAAAAACGATCAAGATCTTACCTTGCTGATTTTCTCGATATCTTGACGGAAAACGGGACTCTGAACGCCAACATCTTCTTCTTCCTTTCAAGAAGTGCTTGTCATTAGATCGTGGCTGGCGGCGACTTTCGGTGGTGGTCCGAAGAGATTTACGGCTGCAGTTTTCTTGCTCACTCCCAAACTTTTTCTCCACGTTTTTTTCTTTCTTTGCCATTAGGGGCTAGGTTTCAAGGACGTCTATTATGGTTGGAGGGGCAAACTTACCTATTTGCCCCATATTTGCTGTTAATTTTTAACCCTATTATTATTTATTATTTATTTTTACTTTTATATTTCTTTTTTTTCTTTAAATATTCGGGTGCTACAGCTACATAATTGGGTTAGCCCTGAAATTGCTCGAGTTCCTTAAGTTATTGGGTTTGTCAAAATCGCACTTTGATGGCTCTGAAACTCCAGTTCCACGTTATTGGGTTTGTCACAATCGCACTTTGATGGCTCTGAAATTGCTCCAGTTACCTACGTTTTTGGGTTAGCGCTCTGAAATTTCTCCAGTTACCTACGTTTTTGGGTTAGCCCTGAAATTGCTCCAGTTACCTACGTTTTTGGGTTAGCCCTGAAATTGCTCCAGTTACCTACGTTTTTGGGTTAGCCCTGAAATTGCTCCAGTTCGTTACGTTATTGGGTTCCAGTTCCCTACATTGTTGGGTTGTCACAATCGCACTTATTTCTCAGCAACAAGTTAAGCCTATTCGTTCTTGCGTCGCCTACGGCCAAGCGACGTATGCTCGAGCCTCTGGCCCTAGTTCAAGAAAGTTTTAGAAAACGGGGCAGAGAGATTTTGAAAGCAAGATTTGAGAAATTGAAATTGGTGTTATATGGAAATGTAACAATCCGAGCAACGAGTGAGTAGCCTATTCATTCCTACGTCGTCTACGACCAAGTGACGTATGCTCGAGCCTCTTGCCCCAGTTCAAAAAGAAAGTTTTAGAAAGTTGAGCCGAGAGATTTTGAGAGAGGGTTTTTAAAGCAAGATTTGAGAAATTGAAATTGGTGTTATATGGGGATGTGGGTTCCAGTTCCTTGGGTTGTCACAATCACACTTATTTTCCAGTAACAAGTGAGTCAAGCCTGTTCATTCTTGTTACAATCACACTTATTTCCCAGCAACAAGTGAGTCAAGCCTGTTCGTTCTTGTTACAATCACACTTATTTCCCAGCAACAAGTGAGTCAAGCCTGTTCGTTCTTGTTACAATCACACTTATTTCCCAGCAACAAGTGAGTCCTCCCCTCTTCTATTCCGTCCCAAAGAGTTACCGAAACCAATTCTGGTAAAGAACCTGACCCATATTTTTTCATTGAGCAAAAGTATAAATCAGATTGATTTTCGATCAAAAGTACGCAAACAAGACTTTAGCATTAGCAATGTTTAGGAGTGGAATATAATCTAGTTCGCATCTCCATTTAGATGATCGAAAAAAATCTGTTCCTACATTTTTTCTCGTTCATAAAAAATCTCCCTAACAAAATCCTAAACTAAGCTCCTAACAGAGAGCTTCGACGGCGAGCCTCTTGACAAGATCAGCAGCGCAGTCCGTAGCTCCAAAGGTAGCTTCAGAGACATCAATAGCGCAAGATTCTTTCCCAACGCACAAATTCTCAACAATCTTCAATGCATCGTTTTGGCTCTTGCACTCTCCCGTCGTGAAAGACCCACAACTCCCCAATGGGTTGCCGTAGCTCGCGAAGGCAATCCCTGAAATCTGTTGCCCCTGACACGACAGCTCCAAACGGTGGTTGTCGTAAGCATGAGCACAAGCTTTCTCCATGCTGATTGGTTTGAAGTTCACCAATGATGGGTTCCCTCCAAATTCCTCGAACAGAACCAGAGTGTTATCGCCGTCATTGATGAAGGATCTCGGCACATGGTACCACCGCTGTGTTGGGTGGCCGCAGTTGCTGACGCATTTATTGTTGTCGTATGCGCCACGGTAATCACATGGGTCCAAGCTGCAACCTTCTTCGGCTATGAAGCTCGGCCAGTAACGGCCAAGGTTGTGGCCGTTGACCCAAGCAACCCCCTTGCCGAGGCCTTGTAAGTCTAGAGCCACTGGGTCGGTTCCTAATGGAGCTTTGAAGGTTGTTTTGTACCATGTCATCATTTTGTTTACTGGGAGATTCTCTGATTGCCATTTGGCGGCGAATCGAGAATCTGAACTGAAGAGACGATTTTCGAAGCCGTGCAATCCGATTTCGTATGACCATTTGTGAGATGAGAGGTCTTTTATGAGTGTTTCATCGCCGTTGCGGCCGATTAATTCAACTGGGCCGGGGATTCCTGATTGAATCATGTCGAAGAAGGGCCCGTAGTTCTGAAAAACAGAGCAAAATATGTGAGATTTGTTGATGAGAAAAATAAAAAACAGAGGTCGGAGTTACGAACCTGGTAGCCGACGGTGGCGCTGAGAAGAGAGATTATGTTCTTTCCTGGCTTTAATTTCACTTGTCTCTCCATAAAGTAAGTGAAAATTCCATATGAAGCCCATTGGGAACCGATATGTTCACCGTTGACGAAGGCGTGGAGGACATGGCCGCTGCCGTTGATTCGCAGAGTCATGTTGTTGCTCCAAATCCGATCGGCTTTCTTCAAGTGAACGCTGTAATTTGGGGAAAAACATCAAATTAAGGAAATGGGTAAGGCTTAAATCGGTGAAATTCGTGTTCGATCTCGAGGATTTTACCTTGTCATGTACCAGAGATAATCACTAGCATCGTTAGCGGCAGCTTTCTGATCAAGAAGCATATTAGCACTTACTTGTCCTTTGCCTAATCTCGCGGTGGCGTCGAGATTCTCTGGCCGCCACACCCATTGCAACGCCGCCGGTTCCTCCTCCGCCTTGTTTTCCTTCTTCACCATCACGGATGTTTGTGTGTTCACTTTTGCTGTGTTGTAAACCTCTGTTTGACAGTCGGGAAGAATGCTGACGGACCACGCCGGAACTTTAAAGTCTTTTCCGTTGTAGCTGACCGTCGCGTCAGTTGTTACATTCGCGTTGCTGAAGAAACAAGCCGACCCTTCTTTTGTAGTGTATTTGGTGATCTAAATCGAGAAAAATAACAATGTTCAATTGTTTGGCTCAAGAAACAGAGCAAAAATAGATGAGATCCGTTTTTTGGTTCTTACAGAAACAGAGTTGCCCAAATCGGTGGTGTTCACGTCGCCGGAAACCAGCGGCTTCTCAATGGACATCAAAGCATCGTGAAGCTGCTTCAAATGGCCGTATTTGGGTTGATTCAGATTACCATACTCATCCAACGGTGCATCGTAATCGTAAGAGGTGGTGATGTACGGACCGCCGGCCATCCGGTCGAAGTTCGTTCCGCCGTGGTACTGAAAAAAACCGGTCACCGGAGCTGTAAAAACTCAAACCCAGATACAAAACCGATGGAATTAAGGAATTGAGCACAAACCATGTAGTAGTTTTGGAAAGTGCCGCCGAGTTGGTAGAATCTAGCGACGGAGAAGGCCAAATCTTCGGAGGTTCTATGTGGGTCTTTTCCACCCCAGCTCTTGAACCAACCAGTCCAATTTTCAGTCCACATTTTGGGGCTGTTTGGATTGTTGGGAGTGAACTGATCGCAATACCAACCATTGCAGGTGTTGATCATTGGCTCGGGTGCGTCGGCTTGTTGACACATGATCCATGGAACCCCGACTTTCAACGAGTCCGCCATGGATGAACACCAGTTCACATAAGCTTTTCCAGCTTCGCCGTAAGGGGTCATTACGTTACCGTATTCATTTTCAATCTGAGCTAGAATCACTGGACCACCTTGTGAGGCGAAAAGATTCTCCTTCTTCACCATGTCCACAATCAACGTCGTGAAGTTTTGCATCTCATTCTGTTCATAAACAAAAACTTCAAAAACAGAGTATTAAAAGTTTCAAAAAACAGAGGAAAATGACGATGAAAATGTTACCATGAATACGGAATTTAACGTTCTGAGTTCAATTCCAGGAAGGTTGTGGAGCCAAACCGGAAAACCTCTGTAAATTCCAAGGATTAGAATTCAGTGTACGAAAAACAGAGCAAGTTACAGAAGAAGAGAAAAACAGAGCAATATACCCATAATTCCACTCGGCGCAGACATATGGGCCAATGCGAAGAACAGCGTAAAGGCCTTGATCTTGAATGGTTTTAAGGAACCTTATGAGATCAAGATTGGCAGTGAAATCATATTGACGACGAATCGGCTCATGAGCATTCCAGAAAACGTAAGTTTCAATGGCGTTCAATCCACCTTCCTTTGATTTTCTGATCAAATCAGGCCACATCTGCAATAAACAGAGAATCCAAACCAAACCCATTTCAATTTGATATCAAGTGATGAACAAACCCATTTCAATTTGATATCAACTGTACCTGAGGAGTGCTTCGTGGGTAGTGGATAGAACCAGAGAGTAAGATCCTGGGTTGACCATCAATGGTGATAGCTCTGTTCGTGTGGGAAACTTGGATGGCAGAGGCGAAGAGGACGAAATTCAAGACAAGAATGAAGCAGAGAGCTGATGAACAATCCATGGTGTTCTTGAATTGTGATGAATTTTGTTGTGAGGAATGAATTTGTTGTGTGTGATGTATTTATAGTGGAGAGGAGTGAATAAAACAGTGATTCTGTTGAAAAGATTTTAAAATCGTAACAGAGTTGAGCTTATCTCGTTTTTAACCTTTTTCTAATAATAAGAACTTATTTATAAAAAGAAAATAAGTATATCCAAATTTATAATTATTTTTTAAATAATGTGTTTTTTTAATGGATAATATATTAGGTAGGTATTTTATTCTTTTTCTTTCATTGGTAGAAATATGGAATTGATTTGGATGCTAGAACATATCGAATTATTAAAACGAATAAAAATAATATAATATAAAAATAATTTAGTAATTTGTATAGATAAAATATTAAAATTTTAAAAAGACAATTTATTATTTTCTTATTTTTATGGAAAGAATGGTGGTTCGTGATCCTATATCGATTAATTATTATATAAAATATTTAGACATTATTTTTTTTCTAGAGCTAACTCGATTAATGATAAGATTGAAAACTAAATATTCAATATAAAAATTTCGAACTTTACACATGAATCATATAGAAACCGATTGAATTCTAAAATTATTCTTTATTTATAACTTTTTTTGTTTTGAATTCTAAAATTATTTATAAAATTTAAAAATTGGGGTGAAAATTGAGAATTAGGTTAAATTTGCTCAATCCAACCAATAGAAATATGGATATGATCGAACCAACCAACTCTGCTTACTTTTAAGATTATTATGAATTAAATATATGATATTTGTAATTGATGTTAATATATTTTAGTTATTAATGATAAATAATATTTTTTTAAATAATAAAAAAGTTCTGACAACTCAACCATTAGTTGGGATCTCAAAGGTCACCGATCCAACCAACTTAAAATTTGAGTGGGTCTGAAAGATTTCTTCAACCCAACGGGTATACATTGGTTCAAGAGGATGATGATCAGCCACATTTGAATTGAGACACGACTCAAACTCTTATGGAAGGTAGTATTAGAGAATTTTCTGCAATAGGCAAAAGTGTGACGGTTCTAAATGCCGCATGGAGGTCTACTCACGTATAGTAAACTTCTTTTCTTGAAGAAGAAGCAATGACTATATTCGAATCATAAGCATCGGCTAATTCTTTCTTCTCAATGGCTTCCAATCCATCTTCTTCTTTTGCATCCATGCCCTCATTTTACTCGTTCCTACAAAAAATTTCTTATTTAATTTTGCATCTTATAATTATTCTCCATTTATGTTTCCTTGAAATATCTCCTTTCGGGTCTAAAAAGAAATTTTCTAATATGAAGGTTTATGGAGCCTTTGAACAGCCTGAGGTAGTGAGCTCAGTGAGCTTTAATTCAGAGTTTGAATATCTCGAAATCCTAAACCAAATTGATAACACATTTGAAACGATAATTGGTGCGAAGTCAATAAACTTCTAAAATCAGACACTAATTTTGAGAAAATGATCTAAAAATAGAAGATGAAATTTTGTTGAGAGATTTAAGGGGATGAACGAAACCAAAAATTCCTCAGCCTCCCAAAAATAACAATCAAATAAAAAATGGAGGCTATAAAATCAGCTCCCCATTCTTCATCTCCTCAGCTCTGCACAAAAAGCACAAATAACAAAGAGCCAGCGGCAGAAGAAGAATAAGAATAAGAACAAGAACAATGGCGAAATCTGCAGTAATGCTTGTTTCAGCCCTCTGCCTCATGTCGCTCATCAACATCGCAACCTGCGAGAAGGAACGCTTCTTCGTGGAAGGCAAAGTGTATTGCGACACATGCCGGATCCAATTCTTCACAAAAGTCAGCAAATTCCTCGAAGGTAACTAAAAAAAAGGCCTAACCCTAAGGATTTGGGAATTCTGAAATAGAAATAGAAATTCTAATTGCAGGAAACTAATTTTTCAAATTAAAAAAAAAAAAAAAGAAACCCTAACCCTAAGGATTTAGGGATTCTGAAATTGAAATTGAAATTGAAATTGCAGGTAACTAATTTTTCAAATTAAAAACAAGAAAAGAAAAAGCCCTAACCCTAAGGATTTGGGGATTCTGAAACTGAGAATGAAATTGCAGGCGCGACTGTGAAATTGGAATGCAGAGACATCGAAGGAGGAAATGTGACGTTCAGCAAAGAGACGGAGACAGATAAATCGGGGAGTTACAAGATCGAGACGGACAAAGATCACGAGGAAGAGGTGTGCGAGGTGTCGCTGGTGAAGAGCAAGGATCCGGATTGCGATGAGATCACGAAGGAAGGGTACGCACACAAATCCAGAGTAAGTATCACCAGCAACAGTGGAATCACCAGCCCCGAACGCCTTGCCAATCCGTTGTCGTTCATGAAGAAGGAGAAGCTGCCTGAGTGCAAGGAGGTTCTCAGAGAGCTCGGCTTCGACGAATATGGCAACATCGTCTAAACCACCACCGCCAAATGTTCTTTATAATAGTGGACAAACAAACACCACGCATTTCTTACCGAACTTCTCAATTATTTTTTTATATTAATAAAATGATTTAATAATTTTCTCTCTTTTTTTTTTTAAAAAAAAAAAAGAAAAATGTTGCCGTTATATAATATAATTTCATGCATTTTCTACTAATAATAAAACAATATTATTTCTATCCCTTTTGATTTCGAACATGCACGTTTTCACCCTGAACACAGAAAACTACTAAAAACGTCACCCTGAACACAGAAAACTACTAAAAACGTCACCCTGAACACAGAAAACTACTAAAAACGTCACCCTGAACACAGAAAACTACTAAAAACGTCACCCTGAACACAGAAAACTACTAGAAAAACGTCACCCTGAACACAGAAAACTACTAGAAAAACGTCACCCTACATCTCACCATGAACACGAAAACTACTAGAAAAACGTCACCCTACATCTCACCTGTTGAACACTGTCATAAGTCCTATTCTCTAGGACCAAGACCTATTCTCAAGGTCTTTTTTTGGCTTGTTAGTTTATCTTTAGGTTTAGCAGAAAGGCTATATAATGCCATTCTTTCTGCTGTTGAAATCATTAAGTTTTGAGTGTCATATTGTATGTCTTGAGTAACTTTGGTGTTGTGAGTACATTTGTTCCGCTTTCGGAGCTCAACAAGTGGTATCAGAGCCTTATTGTGGTATTTGGGGGTATTGTGAAAGTTTGGGCCTCATCGACCATTAGACGTGCTCACAATCGTGTTTATTCTCTTGGAAATCAGTTTTCAAGAATTGTGTTTTTGAGTTACATCCAGATTAATTATTGCAAATGGCCGAACCATCACGACGTGGATCGAGAGTGTGGAGTTCCAATCTCGAAGTAGAAAAATTTGATGGAACCAATAATTTTGGTGTTTGGCGAGGCGAAGTTAGCGATTTGCTGGTCATGCAAGACCTCGATGTTTCTCTCCAAGAGGAGATGCCTGAAGACATGACAGAAGCAGAATGGACAAAATTAAATCGGCAAGCCTGTGGAATTATTCGATCCTGTCTTGGCAAGGATCAGAAATATCCATTTATGAAGGTTACCATGGCGAAAGAATTATGGGACAAGCTTGAAGCGAAATATATGAAGAAGAGTGTGGAAAATAAACTCTATTTGAAGAAGAAACTCTTCCGTTTTGACTACAAGGAAGGTATCTCAATGGCTGAGCATTTGGATGATTTTAACAAAATCATCACTGATTTGCTCAATCTTGATGTTAAGATTGATGACGAGGACAAGGCGTTGTTGTTATTAAACTCTTTGCCGGAATCCTACGAGTTTTTTGTAACAACCCTACTACATGGAATCACTAATATTGATTTTGAAGATGTTTCAAATGCCTTAATAAACAATGAGATGCGAAAGAAGGAAAAGGAGACGTATCAAAGCTCTAGCTCAAATGTTCTCACTGCTCATGGAAGAACTTCTACCTGGAAAAGGAACGAATGTGGAGAGTCTCGATTAAAGTCGAGAGGTAGATCTGATAATTGGAGAAAACTTGATAAAAATGAGTGTGCATATTGTCGACAGAAAGGCCATTGGAAAAAAGATTGTTCGATCTTAAAAGAGAAGGGGTCGAAGTCCAATGTGGTTAAAGATGACGACACTGATACAGATGATGCCTTGACAATCTCCCTATCAGCCAGCCAAACCATTGAATGGATTCTTGATTCTGGGTGCTCCTATCATATGTGTCCCAACAAAGAGATGTTTTTGGACTTCAAAAAGTTCAATGGTGGAGTTGTCTATATGGGCAATGATAGTACTTGCAAGATAATGGGAATCGGCTCAGTACAAATCAAGATGTTTGATGGGGTTATACGAAAACTCAAAGATGTGAGGTATGTTCCTGACTTGAAGAAAAACTTGATTTCACTTGGCGTTTTGGATGCGAGTGGTTATCGCATCATTTTGGAAGGAGGGAATTTGAAAGTAGCTCGTGGAGCTTTGGTGGCAATTACAGGAACTAGAAGAGGTAGCATATACTACCTCAACGGAACCACAATAATTGGGCATGCTGCTATGGCAAGTTCGAAAGAACAAGACATATCGAAATTATGGCACATGCGACTCGGGCATGCTGGTGAGAAGGCGCTTCAGACATTGGTGAACCAAGGAGTCCTTAAGGGTGCCACAACTGGAAAAATTGATTTCTGTGAACATTGTATATTTGGTAAACAAAAAAATGTGAAGTTTGGTACAGCTATACACCAAACAAAGAGTATTTTGGATTATGTTCACACCGATGTATGGGGTCCCACAAAGAATGTCTCATTGGGAGGAAAGAGGTGGTTTGTCACCTTTATTGATGACTACTCGAAGAGAGTTTGGATGTATCCCATGAGGCACAAAAACGAGGTTCTCCAAATCTTCCTAGAGTGGAAGAAAATGGTAGAGAATCAGACGGATAGGAAAATAAAAAAGCTGAGATCAGACAACGGGGGAGAATATACTTATGATCCATTCCTTAAAATATGCCGAGATGAAGGGATCGTTCGACACTTCACTGTTCCTGGTAACCCACAACAAAATGGAGTTGCTGAGAGAATGAACCAGACATTAATAGAGAAGGTTCGATGCATATTGTCTCAAGCAGGATTGAGTAAGGCATTTTGGGCTGAGGCTCTCAGTTATGCAGTTCACTTGGTGAATCGTTTACCTGTTTCTGGAAACGGTGGGAGAACTCCGCTTGAGGTATGGTCAGGTAGTCCTGTTAGTGATTATGATAAATTGCATGTGTTTGGGTGTCCTGCTTATTATCATGTGACAAACTCAAAATTGGATCCTAGAGCAAAAAAAGCCAAGTTTATGGGCTTTAGCAAAGGTGTGAAGGGCTATAGGTTATGGTGTCCAGAAACAAGTAAAATTGTTAATAGTCGAGATGTGACATTCGATGAGTCTGGAATGTTTTTGCAGAAAATTGAAAATAATGACGAGGCATTGAAGCAGGTGGAGAAGGTGGTGTTCTCTCCTGATGTGGTTGCTCCTACCGAAGAACCTATTGATCAGGTAAATAATAACTTTGATGTCTTAGAACAAAAAGAGCAAAGTCTTGAGGAGCAAAGCCTTGTGAATGAAAGAGTGGAGGAACCTGAGTCAATCGCCAAGAATAGACCACGAAGGGTAATTCGAAAACCTGCAAGGTTTGATGATACGATAGCATATGCTTTCTCTTTGATTGATGGAGTTCCTAACAGCTACAAAGATGCTATTCAGAGCCCGGATAGCTTACACTGGCAAGAGGCTGTGAATCAGAAGATAGCATCATTGGAGATAAATCAAACTTGGGATTTGGTACAACTTCCAAAAGGTAAGAAGGAAATTGGTTGTAAATGGGTTTTTGCAAAAAAGGAAGACTCTTCTGGTATACGTTATAAGGCTCGACTTGTGGCTAAAGGTTACGCACAAAAGGAAGGTATTGATTACAATGAAATTTTCTCACCTGTGGTAAAGCATTCTTCCATTCGAATTTTGTTGGCTTTGGTTGCTCAATTTAATCTTGAGCTTGCACAACTTGATGTAAAAACTGCTTTTTTGCATGGAGATTTGGAAGAAGAAATATATATGGCGCAACCAGTTGGTTTCCAAGTAGTTGGACAGCAACATTTAGTATGCAGATTGAAGAAATCTTTGTATGGGCTGAAGCAATCCCCTCGCCAATGGTATAAAAGGTTTGATCATTTCATGGTAGAGCATATGTATACTCATAGTCAATTTGACCATTGTGTGTATTATCGGTGTCTCGATGATGGATCGTTTATCTATTTGCTCTTATATGTTGATGATATGTTAATTGCTTCAAAGAGACAGATGGAGATTGATAAGCTCAAAGATGAGCTTTCTAAAATATTTGAAATGAAAGACTTAGGCAATGCAAAGAAAATACTTGGAATGGAGATAGAGCGAGATCGGAAAAAAGGTACAGTCTGGTTGACTCAGTCTCAATATCTACGCATGGTATTGTCAAGATTTAGTTTGAATAATTTAACCAAACCCGTTAGTACTCCACTTGCTCCTCATTTCAAGCTTAGTGCTTCCATGTGTCCAAGTTCTGATGATGACAAAAGGTATATGGAGAACATTCCTTATACAAATGCTGTTGGTGCGTTGATGTATGCTATGGTGTATACTCGACCTGATCTTTCACACGCTGTAAGCATGGTGAGTCGTTATATGCATAATCCTGGTAAAGAGCATTGGCAGGCTGTAAAATGGATTCTTAGGTACATTCTTGGCACTATTGATGTTGGTATTAAGTTTCAAAAACAAGAAATGTTTAATCTTGACAATCGTGTAGTTGGTTATGTGGATTCTGATTATGCTGGTGATTTGGATAAGCGACGATCTACTACGGGTTATTTATTTACTATGGCTGGTGGACCTGTTTGCTGGCGTTCAACATTGCAGTCTACTGTTGCATTGTCTACCACTGAAGCAGAGTATATGGCAGTAACAGAAGCTTTTAAAGAAGCTATTTGGATGCATGGTTTGATCAATGACTTGGGTATTTTGCAGGAACATATAGATGTATTTTGTGATAGCCAGAGCGCTATTTGCTTGTCAAAAAATCAAGTCCATCATGCTCGTACAAAACACATTGATGTCCGTTTTCACTTTATTCGAGAAATTATTAGCAAAGGGGATATTCGGTTATTAAAAATTGGAACTGCTGATAACCCTGCTGATATGTTGACAAAGGTGATCACTCGTGAAAAGTTCTGGCATTGTTTAGATTTCATCAACGTCGGAAGGGAGTAGTGTGTTGACATGGTAGCAACCAAATTAGCTATCAACTTGGAGATCTTATGACAAGGTGGAGATTGTTGAACACTGTCATAAGTCCTATTCTCTAGGACCAAGACCTATTCTCAAGGTCTTTTTTTGGCTTGTTAGTTTATCTTTAGGTTTAGCAGAAAGGCTATATAATGCCATTCTTTCTGCTGTTGAAATCATTAAGTTTTGAGTGTCATATTGTATGTCTTGAGTAACTTTGGTGTTGTGAGTACATTTGTTCCGCTTTCGGAGCTCAACATCACCATGAACACGAAAACTACTAGAAAAACGTCACCCTACATCTCACCATGAACACGAAAACTACTAGAAAAGCGTGACCCTACATCTCACCATAAACACGAATTCTCTAGAAAAACGTCACCCTGAATACGAAATCTCTAGAAAAATGTCACCCTGAACACGAAATCAAACACAAAAATGTATCGAACTCCCTCCCTTATTCCTCTCTCTCTCCCCCTCCTCGAATGGCATGGCTGAGCCTAATTGAAACTTAGGGCCCAACAAATGATCCTTAGATGTGGGCCGAGAATTAGAAAGGTTTGAGGCTCTTGGGCTGCCACGTAGGACTTATATTTTTTTTCTTTTTTCTTTTTTAAGTATTTCCCAAAATATAGACAATATTATAAATAAATAAACACAGTAAATTAGAGTTAAAAGAGGTCATCACAAAATCAAATATATATTATAAACTTAATTTTTATAATTAAATTAAAATTCAAAACCATACTAATTTTAACTTATATATTATATTTGGAATTCAAATACAACATTTTAAAATCAAAATTGAAATAATAATGGTCGGGAAAAATTGCATTCTTTTTAAGTCAACAAAAAAATTTGACATTTTAAGCTCAAATCACCTCAAAAGTCAAAAGCTATCTCAATTATTTCCAATGCCAAATAAATTTTTAGGCTATAATTGATGTTCCTGTAGCCTTAAAAGTCAATTAGATCAAAATTATTGATTCGAGGGGACCTCACGATCTAAGGTCAAATCGAGCTAAACAAACAAAGCCTAAATCAAAACATGAATTCCAATAAATTTAGTAAATCAACGAGAAGTGAAAAACTGTCATCTAGCCAAGTGAAGCTTCGAGTACCACATCCATCTAAAGAGCATAAATGACATATCACGTGATTGAGCAGTAACCTGCCCATGAAACCAAAATGACTCCTATGTCAAAATTGTTAGATGAACACGACCCCATGAAACCAAAATGACTCATATGTCAAAATTGACCCTCAAATGACTCATATGTCAAAATTGACCTTCATGATATTGTCCACTTTAAGCATAAGTGGGTTTGCTTTGGACTTCCCCAAAAAGCCTCAAGCTAACTCCTATGTCCCTATAGACCAACACTGTTAGTCTAGCAAGAAATTCGACAAATAGAGTCTGCCCAAGACAACACAATACTCTTCCTTGCTCGATTAAACAAGCACTCAAAGAATACATGATACTAAGATTCTACCGAAGACATACACGATCAACAATCCGTAGAGTAGTAACCTTTCATCCATAAAAATAACTTTCTCAATCATTGTGAGATCCCACATCGATTAGAGAGAAGAACAGGTACCAACGAGGACGGTGGTCTCCAAGGGGTAGAGTGTGAGATCCCACATCGATCAGAGAGTAGAACGAGGGCTAACGAGAGCGCTAAGCTCCAAACGAAATAGATTATGAGATCTCACATTGGTTGAACAACCGATCAAAACATTCTTTTGATTGCAATCCAACGAAATCAAACAAAGCTCATCAAAATAGAAACTAGAGAAAGAACAAAAAGAATTACAAAATGGGAAATATTAATAATAGTTTTAAAAGCTATGGATCAAGGAGTTGTCATGGTTAAGAGAGAAGCAGCCATGGCCTCTGCAAGCTTCTTCACCAGAAGAACAGAGAACAAAACAGAGGTCTATGCAAAAATGGCGAGTCTTTCTGTAACCCAAAACAAGAACCCTAATACAAAACAGCTCAACTAGATTTCACAATACTTGGTAATATATATAAAAAAAAGCACCATTAAAGTTATGGCTGCACAGCCAAACCCAGCCACGAGTTGTCGCCGGCGTTCTTGCTTGCCGTCGGGATGCCCTGGTACGGCGCTCTGGCAGTCAGCCTGTTGAAAACAGAGCAAATTAAACCCATTTCCATGGAGGAGAGCTGAGGGAATTGAATTAAAACCCACCTGTCTTTTCTCTTCTCCAAGAAACGCTGAATCGAAGCTTTACGAGCCATCGGAAGAGCTGCGGAAATGGAAGAGAAATCATCAGCCGGCGAGGAGAAGTTGAGGAAATCTAGAAAAGGGGTTTGTTGGTTATGAGTTAATTACCACCGGTAACGGGCTGCGGCTGTGGCGGCGGCGGTGGTGGAGTTTGGTTGCGAGAGGAAGCAGGGGAAGTGGAGCTCAACGAATCAGTCGGAGTTTCGACCAATACCCGCTGGTTAGCGGCGTTCTTGGAGCTCTCTCGGCCGGCCAGAAACATAACTTCACCGACTCTGTCCACCGGAACATTGTTGAACACAAAAACTCGGCCGGCGTAAAAAATCGTCATTTGGGACGTTTGAGGCGCCGCCATGGCCGATTTACAGACACTAAAACAAAATTTTCACTCAATCAAACAATAAATTTCTCAAAAAAAACAAGACGGTCGAAAACTCAGTTCATTACACACCTCGAATCGACGTCGTTTGAGACACCAAATCCAGCTTGCTGAGGGAACAAATCCAAAGACTTCCGATTCACCATTTTTTCCGGCTGAAAGAAGAATTCCGGCGCCGACCCTACAAATTTCAGGTTCTCTCAAATCAAAACAAACCCCTTAAAATAAATTCCAATCCCAACCCACAAAAACCCACACAAATCCTCACCGTTTTTCCGCCGCCGACAGGCTGAGAAACCCGTATTCAGATCCCCGCCGGAAACCAACATACCACCGACGGGAACAAAACCTCGCTTCTCCGGCGAGTTCGATGCCGATCTCTGAGAAGAAACCCGAGAGAATCCGGAAGAACTCGACATGGGTTTGCAGAAAAAAACCAGAGAATAGAAAAGGTTCTGATCTTAAAGAAGAAAGATGAGAGTTTTTATAAAATAGCTGCCGGAGGTGGGATTCATTAATGGTCGGACTCGGACATAAAATAAAAACTTAAATGAAATTAATTTTTCAATAATTTAATTCCAAAAAAAAATAAAGACACGAGGAATATGTGGAGTTTTTACTTGGCGGTTTCCAGCAAATGAAAAGAACCAAAAAAAAAAAAAAAAAAAAA